GATGATCCAAAAATGCTCGAGTTTATGAGGCTGTATATCACCATCCATAGGTTTGTTTCTCCATTGGGATATACTGTGGTTATGATGTATTATAAAGTTTTGTTCAAATTACCACCAAATGTTTTACTGCTTAACACTTTGGTTGAAACCGGATTGCAGTGACCATGAAGGAGGGAATGTTAGTGCTCATGCCGCCCACCTAGTAAGTCATCTTTGTTATTTATGTTCTCATTCTATTCTAATTCTGAAGCTTGTGCGATGATATAAACTTTTAATAATTAATGAAGACCTTTTTTGTTGAAGCATCTGTTTCTTTCTTTTATTTAATTAACCTTAATGTTCAATCCAGGTTGGTAGTCCACTTTCAGATCCTTACCTTGCATTTGCAGCTGCTCTGAATGGTTTAGCTGGCCCACTTCATGGCTTAGCCAATCAGGTTGCTCTATTTATTTATATATCTTCTACTCTCTCTCTTTCACACATGTGCGGGTGCACTTGTGTGCATGCCTTTTTCTTTTGAATGTTTTTCATCTTCTGCTGTTTTGAAATGTCCTGTTCCTGTGCTTGGCTTACATGAAAAGATAAGGAAGGAAAGGGAAAAGGAGAAACATTGGAGCAATCCTTGGTTTGGTACATGGGAATGGAATTCCCAGAGTTACTCCATGGAATGCTTTTGAGCCAAAATTTATTACATCATTACATCTAAGGAATTGCACTGAACATGGGGGAATGAAGTTGAAAAAGGCCGTCTTGTCCTTAACCCATGCATCCCATAAGTTTCGTACTTTTTATGTATAGGGTTATTTTTTAATATCATTATTAATTCTATTTCTTTATTTCTGCGATACCAATTATTATTTGGAAAAGTGTACCCTTTCCTTCTTTTCTTTTCTGTTTTTTTTTTCCCATGCATAGCAAAAATACTCTTGCATTCCCACTCCCTCTCCCATTCATATTTCCATTCCGATTTCCTTATGTCCATTGCAGCATACCAAAAACCCAGTTAGTTTTTTTTTTTTTTAAATTTATTTTTTTCTGCTGGAAAGTCTCTGTACTGTTATTTTCTAGCCCCAGTTTTCTGCAGTATTGGCTTTCTTTTGCTAGCTATTGCAGTACTATAATTGGTTAAGAATGTGAACAGTCATGCATATCTCACATTCTTGACTAATTTTTTAAAAGTGCAAAATCGTGTGTCTCCACTTAGTTTGCTTCCCCCAGAAACTTAAAAATTAGGCGTCAGTCAGTGGTCCTTTTGTAAGGGGTTGTGCCTGGTCGAATTACAAAGTTAGAAAGCTCCTGATCTAGTGACTCTTTACTCTCATGTTCTAGATTTTCAGTGGATTACTTGTCCTCAATTTTTTTGTTTTGTTTTGTTCTTCTTTTTTCTTTTGGTTTTTTTTTTTTTTTCCTTTTGGCCTTTCTAGTCAGTAACTTCTATTTCTACAAAAGACTATTATTTCCTGTTTAATGAGACTTAAAAATTCTATAAGCATGAGCCAATCATGCTTTATCCATGCTTCAAGCCTGACAAAATTTTTCACAATGGGCCATTAATTATCAAAGTATTCTGGGATATGAATTTAATTTTTTTTTTTTTTTTTAAATGCATCTAGATCCTTACATCTATTTTAGTAGAAGCACGATGCTTGAACTTCATAATCTTTGCTTTCCCAACTATAGAAGTAAACTAGTGCTTGCTCCGATGTCTTGATTTTTTTTTTTTTCCCCCCAAATCATATCAAGTTGAAAAATTATTATGATCATGGCTCGTCTCTGCCTCTGCTTATATGTTATTGATTTTGGTTACCTTATTCTTCACTATTTTGGGGTTTCAGGAGGTTTTGCGTTGGATCAGACATGTTGTTCAGGAGTTTGGAACTCCGCACATAAGTACAGAACAATTGAAAGACTATGTTCACAAAACATTGAATAGTGGTCAGGTAATGTAGTGAGTCGCATTCAACGAAGAGTTTTTAAGTCTTTTTATTATTCTTCAAATGAATCTAGGATGCATGCTTTTCTGTGTGAACATACACTGTTCATGGCTGCGCACAAAACAAATTAAAAAGGAATTTCATTCAACACTTTGACCTGTCTACATTAAAGGATTTGTTAGCTGATGGGCAGTAAGGCTCTTTGTCATATGCATCTGGAGCTATAGATTTTGTCTATCCCCGCCAATAAGAATTTCTCAAATATTAATATGTATCTGCTTGCACTCAAAGATTTTTGCTAAACTCAGATTTACTGTCTCGTATTTAAATTTTTCTTTAGAAACGCTTGGCTACTTGATAGGGTTGACTCTTGCTTTTTGAATTTGCAGGTTATACCTGGATATGGACATGGAGTCCTGCGCAAAACAGACCCAAGATACACATGCCAGAGGGAATTTGCCTTGAAGCATCTGCCTGATGATCCACTGTTCCTGCTGGTTATACCACTTCTTCCCTAATTTGATTGTGTTAATTAGGGGGTGCCTTCTAAATGCAAAACTGAGGCTTATTTGCAAAAAATCTGCTTGATTTAACTTCGCTTTGTGATCGCTGCAGGTATCCAAGCTGAAAGAGGTTGTGCCTCCCATTCTCACTCAGTTAGGCAAGGTAAAGTTAAAAAACTAAACAAAATCCTATGGAAGATATCATCTTATTTTTCATTAAATGCGAAATCATTTGTGCATATTTTGCATCTAGCCATCTACTCCCAGTTATGATAAATTTATGAATTGAATACATGCTTGGCTGCTCAACGTTGACAGAATAATACTTGTTTGTAAGGTTAGCCGAAAACAGAACAGGCTTTGGACAACGCCTGAGGGAAGAAAAGACTCCTAATTTAATCTGAGCTTTTATTGCATATTATATTATGGGACTTCAGGCCTTTATTGAGCTGTTTAGAATTGTTAGCACTGTCCCATCAACGCAAAATCACTTTATATTTGGTCCTTGTGGTTCCTTTGACCCTTAAAAAACTTCAGTTATGTGGCGCATGCTGCTTCGATTTTCATTTTTATTTTCTGTTCTCCATTTTGTCATTAGATATCGAAATTCTACTGAGTAGTGCCTGGCTACCAAGCACAGGATATTCTTCTGATTGTTGACTTCATGTTTTCCAATCGTGCAGGTTAAGAATCCATGGCCTAATGTTGATGCTCACAGTGGTGTACTATTGAACTACTTTGGCTTAACTGAGGAGAGGTATGGTGTCACTGATACAAGATGTTCAGCTTGAGATATTTGTTATGATGCAATTAAGGATGATTATAATGCCCTTTAATCATTTTGGACAGCTATTACACTGTTCTCTTTGGTGTCTCAAGGAGTTTTGGAATTGGTCCTCAGGTTCGTCATACTATTTTGTCAACTATTCTTGTTCCCAGATTGTTTTAGCCCTTAAATAACTTCCAAAGATTGGTGATTGCACTAGTTAATCTCTACTAGTATATTACATGAACACATGTCAAATGTCAGAGATACCAAAAGGGTTAGCATGTGATGATTTTGCTATTTTTAGATATTTAATCATGCACTGATTAATTTTTTAGCAAAACTGAAGAAATATAACAACTTAGGGACCTGATTATCAATTTATTCTTTATTGGTGTCTTGAAGTTTCTGAAACAAAAAAAAAAAAATGCTGTTTCTGTCTATTTCAGCTGATATGGGACCGCGCCCTTGGGATGCCACTTGAAAGGCCCAAAAGTGTTACATTGGAGAAACTTGAGGAATTATCTGCGAAAGCTTCATCATCCTGAAATATTAAACATTTTTTCTGAAGATGGAATTTCTCAGAGAAGATGGAGGTTGGTGTAAAATTGAAAATTTGGTGCAAATTCATTGAGGGATTTTTTGTTTTTTTCTCTGTTCAGTTGAGGTATCCAAAAGGTTTTGGATTTAGGTGAAAAGGGGATTTTCTCCCCCCCCAACAGATTTAACTTCGAGGTAACATCAAATAAAGGAAATATTCCTGTTCTTGGTTTATTCACTTGTGTAAATGATTAATCGCCAGATTTCATTTGTAGCTTACTATTAAGTGGCCTATTTTATCTGTACATAATAGATGCAAAATACGGAAAATGGAAGTTAATAATAGATTATAAAAAAAACATATAAATAAATTATTCTCACTTGATTACCCCCAAAAAAAAAAATCTGTTCGAGGCCTTGAGCACAAAGTTACCTCTCTTTCAATGAGGAAATGAATAGTGGTTCATCATGTTAGTCTTTTGTGCCCTATTTCAGTTCAATTGATTTTACTGGGTCATACTGCGTTTTATTCTGAAAAATGTAGAATAAATACTACCAATGTACATACACACACATATAAATAATATAATATAAAAAAACAAGGAGTTGTACTATTTACAAACTAGAGGGTATAGGTGATTCAAATCTTTCCATATCCGTAACAACTGGATAGCATATATATGGAGAAAAATATTTTTTAAAAAAATATAATAACACAAGTAATTAGATTTAATATGATAATTTGATCTGCATCAGTTACGTAGAACCTAAATGATAGAATGAATGGCCTGGGTATAATTATAATTTATCACTTTCTTGTTAATTATATAATAAAAAATAAATGCATACTCTTCTGATCATGTTTACAAGACAGAGAAAGAATATATTTTTTTATCCTATTTATAAGAAACTGAGAGAAATTTTTTATTTGGATGTATAATTTTACTTTTTATTTATTATTATGTTGTATTTATTTATGAGGTATAATACGTATTAAATAGGGATAAAATTAAAAAGTTGTTGAATTTTAAACGAAAATTAATAAGGTTTAAAAAATCTTTTATCTGTGTGAAATATGTTGAAAGTTATTTATATATAAAACTAGTATTTGTGAGAATGCGGGGCTGCGTATAAATAAAAAGATAAAATTTGCCAATATATGGACGTCGTCGTATACTCATGATGTATCTGAAACATAGGGAATCACTTTCATGTCGCGCAGAAATGGAAGAATATGCCCATAATTTACCAATTATCACACACAAACAAACATGGCAGTTAAGAGGGCTTTATGCACAAATTTCGATGAATGACATGTGAGGCTTTGATCGGACTTCAGAATCTCGAAATGAAGGTTTGGCCAAAAAAAAAAAAGAATCTTGAAGTGAAAACTGAAAACAAACACTTCGAGTGAAACGGAAATGGCCTCGCTATCGGCTGCAAGACCAGCTAATGTAATGTTAGGGTTTCCTCCAAGAGCTTTAATTCCCACGATTGACGCCATTAAACTCTGTACCAGGGCTTCTTCAGTATCTTCCAGGCTCAGGTTCATGCATTTCTTAGTTCTCTTTCTGTTTTGCCTCTCTTGCTTGCTCGGGTAGATCTGTCTTCTGATTTCTCCATCCTCGTTCTTGGACTTTAATTCTTCAGTTCATCCGCTAATGCATGTCACAGCTACATTTTGTAGACCAAGAGTTATCACTTGTCAGTTTAAATTTGCAATCTTAATTATGACTATCGTAACTGCCATCGTTGTTCTTCATGCTAAGATATGTGAGGATATAGTAATTAGGAGACTGTAATACTTTTGCGGTTTACCCCATTATCCATGGATATAGTCACTTGGTCCATCATACTTCTTGGAATCAAAGAGAAAATGAGAAGCAGTTGCATGTACAGGAAATTTGGGCTAATTGCTTATCCATAAATATCAGGAAAATACCAGACACTTACGTTTCCATAATAAAAGTTTAAAACCGTTTCTATAACATTTTCAAAGATCTTCATGTAAGTGAAGAATAGAAGGAGAGAAAATATGAACAAGAAGGTCGCAGAACATGTATTATGGGAGCTTGGGAGTTGTTGTTATTAATTGAAGATCAAGAGATGGAGGTATTAAAAATTGGACAGTGCCATTTCTCTTAATTATAATGAGAAAACTCACTATCTTTGATTTACTGGGATTGAAGCTTGAGGTCATTACCTCACTGGCCTAGCCAGATTGGAACTTGAGCTTATGACCAAGAACTTTTAAGGAACACTATGCCTAAGTGTTCAAGCTGCGGACTATATATATACATATCTGTCGATGCTAAGCACTTGTGAGAGGCTATGGGATTTATAGCACTTGTTTTGCTTTATGATTGATGGCTGCAATACGCTATCTTGTGTTTGAGGAAGAGCAAAATCAGGTGTTTGTTCTGTTCAAGTATGATCTTAACAAGCTTGCAGTACATGGTTTTGGAATGAGTTGAGAAAAAAGAAAAATGATCTTCGCCCTTGTGTTCAAAACAAGATTCTTTAGTGAGTGCGATGTTGGTACATGTTACACAAGGGAGCTGTTTGTTTCTATGAGGAATTTTGCATCGCGGTTCTGCTGAAAATTGAGCTCAGAATATTGGATTAGTCTTATGCCTCCATTAGTTGATAACTCTGAAGATTTTAGATTTTAGAAGTTAACCAAGCAAATCCAGTGTTCAGAGCTTAGTAGTTTTGTAATGGCGATGTTTGACTACACTTCAAGACTAATATAACCCTCCTCAGAATATCACCAAAATCACACAGACCTCTCTTTTCTTTAAAAGTTTACATGACCTTCCTTTGAAAACAAAGTGTAAATTATGCAGAATTCCACTTGAAGTTTTGTTGAAATTACATTAAATCTTCCTCCATTCTCAAAACATACACCAACCCCCCTCAAAAATTTAGTTTTACTTGTATTCATTTGGGCCTTGTTTTTTCCTAGGTTTGATGGTCTCACAAGATCACAAATAAGTCAGAGACATGTGAGAGTTTCTGCAGCGAACTCTGCATCTGGTTCTGGCAATGGAAAAACACCTAATGAAGAAGGTGAAAAGACAAGTAACAGTTCGGAGGGACCCCCATTGCTTACAATTCTGGCTGGAGCCTTGGCATTTCTCTTCTTTTGTTGGCTTATCGGATCCACTGTAATGTGGCTCATCGGTCTGATTGTGAGTGTAGCTTCACCCAAATAGGTTTCGTGTGTATCAAGCTTTCTTTGTAATTATCAGTTTCGTTAAAATTGTTGGACATGGCATGAAACGTTTTTGATCCAATACGTGTTTAACGCGTACTATAAAATTCGCTCTATATTGTGCGTAACTCATGATGGAAGATTATAGTACTACAAAGATACTATATCCGTCCTTCTTTCATAAGATTCAATTTTTTAATTGGTTTGCCTTTTTTTATAAGATTTTTTTTTTAGGTTTGTCTAAATAATAATTGTGTTTTTTTTTTTTTTCCCACTTTGCCCTTAATTAATATACTTTCTGTCATTATCTTTTTTTCTCACCTTCTCTTTCAACTTTTTTTTTTTCACTCACACCCACCACTTATAAATACGGGCATATTTCAAAAGAAAAATATATTTCTTATCCATTTATTACTTTTAATTAATTTTAGTAGTTTTTTTAAACCAACCAATATGTTTTTTTTTTTGTTAGCGACATGATTATTTGGATTTTATAATAAGTGACGGAGTATAAACTAAAACGTTTCCACTCCATATAATAATAGGATATTGTTCTGGTAATTAAAAATTTTAATTTGAACTTCCGAGGAATTCTAGCAGGGAGAGAACTGGACCTTCCTCTGTAAATTACACCATCACATCACAGTAGTGTTCGACTTAGAACTGTGGAACCTCCTTAATGCTTATGAAAAAGCACAGCATGAGTCAACGCTGCCATATAGTAAAATATAATGCAAAAGGGGTAGCCTCTTTTTATTTTTTATTTGAAAAAGAAGCTCGATATTAATATTTTAAATGAGATACTATAAATGCATGACTTTTTGATAATAAATGACAAATATATACTTTAATTGAAAAAGTATAGGCTCGCCCAAATAAATTGAAAAGAAATGTATGTTTGTAGAGCAACATCCATGACAAATATATACTCTAATCAAATAATTATACACTTATCATTCAAATTAGCCATTTTTTATTATTATTATTATTATTATTATTATTATTATTATTATTATATAAAAATGTTTCATTTGCCCTAAAAAAAATCTTCGAAAAGAGAATATTAAATGTGGAAGATACGGAGTAACAAAAATTAAGAAATAAAGAAGTGTAATCAGGAAGAAAAAAAATACTAATGAAGGAGACAAAACAAATCCTTAAACTAATCCTATATTTAAAACCGAAAAATCACATAAGTACATATAATTCGTATGCTGTTAAGTTTTTAACATGAAATTTCAATCTTGGTCTTCCCAAATTGATTCCATATCAAAGCGTCTGCCCTCGATTGTTCGTGTAATTTTGTTTCAACTTCATCCATTCAAAACATAAAATAAAATAAACATTCTCTCCAAGATGAAAACTTGCATCCTGAGTGTTAAATGATACAAAAGTCAGGGATATTCAATTTATACTAGAATCATCCCTGAATCAAAATATAGAACTGAATAATAAACAGCGCCATGAGACCATAACCATAAAAGCATTATTCTTTCACTAAAATGGCATACATTAAAGAAATTATTTATATATATAATTTATTTTTAAAAAAAAAACTACTTAGAAGTTTCAGCATCGGTTGGTGTCTTGTCTCCTAAAGAAGTTGTAAAATTACGTCTTTCCTCGGAGGTAGCAGTTATAACTGGCATCCACACATCAGCTGTACCGCTCAAAAGTGATTGCACTTGTGGATCTGCAGCCATGGCTGATGATATCATCTCATCCACATCATCTATTTTTGCTGACAATTTATCCAACTGTTCAGCTATTGCCAACTACATATAGACAAGAATTGAAAATAGAAACCTAAAAATGTTAGTTAATTCAAAAGGAGAAATTATATTAATCAAATCAAGACCAGAAAAGCCTTGTAAAGGTTCTCTGTACATTTGTTTGCTGTCAAATTCACATAAACAGTTATAGAATTTCAAGTAATTATGGTAGAGTCAAAATTACCTCATCAAGCGGCTGGTTTGACTTTGAGGGAACTTTTGTGACCTCTAATCCAAGAGCTTCAATTTTTGAGCGGAGTTCAACCTCTTCTTCGTTCGTTAATGCTTCCACCTATACAGATTACCATGAAATGCTTAATTACCCTTCATGACTCCACAATATCTCTGCAGAAGTTTGACATCCAACTTTATGCAGCATGGACGCAAGGGATCATATCGTGAAGGTGAACCAATCAAGAGATGCTGAAGATGTATTATATTCATATGCAAACTTGATTCAAAATATAAACCACTAAACCTGAACCATAAGCTAACCTGAAACATAAGCTACAATTTATATTGTCTTAAAAAAGTATCTTTTTAATACTAACGAGGGGGACGAAGTCAAATTCAGAAAAGAAAGCAGGGAATGCCGGAAAAATATTTACTTGAAATGCACCACAAAATGTTATTCAATCATTTTCATGCAGTATTACCGCTAAGGAAGATTAGTAGCACATACTGCAAAAGATTACATGCAGTTCATCGTTATGATGTTAAAAGATGTTCAGTATTTCATAGTTACAGTAAAAATTTTAGATTTCTATTTTTGTTGTCTTTTGTACAGCATCCACAGTACTGCTCTTCAATTCACTTGTTCAAACCAAACAAGATTAACATAAATCAACTGCTTATTTCAAAACATTTGCCAATTGCCAATTTTAAGCAGACATGCCAACTTTAAAGCTCATCTACTTTCTGTCCTATATCATAAATTTGTGAGATTTGAAAACATCAATGGCTGGTGAACAAAAGAACATGCAGATTATCCAACATTGGCTCCATACAATACCCTTGTTCATGGCATTAAGGATAGTCACCCGTTTTTATTTGTCCAACCATGTATGTTATCACTTGTATCTATCCTGCAAAACCGATACATATTACTACATCCATTATTACTATACATGTGTTTCTCCTCAATTAATTCACAGTTGTCGGCTACAAGGAAAGGAGTTGAAGATTTCACAATAGTATGGCTCAGGCACCACATTCCAAGAAATTACACAAGCATCGACAATGACTGTGAGCAACGTCAGATGCATAATAGATCAATTCTGCTTACCCATGCTCAGAAGATAAATCTTAATCCGCACATAAGGAAGTTGAATTTCACCATAAAGGAAACATAATGGCAATGTAAACACAATTCTGGCAATTCACTTGTATCCCTAAAACACCCTACAAAATAGACGCATAAAATAATAAATTATAAAAATAAAATCTTTCGCTGCGATTACGAAACTATTCCTCTGCGGGTGTTTTATAAAGGATGCGAGTTTGATATCCCGTGAAACGGAATGGTTTCATCACCAAGACGAAGACGAAAATAATTGCTTTTTCTCATACCCAGGAATCGAAATCCATTAGCATACCACAAGTATAAGCCAGTAAATCTAAGCCAATACGGAATCATATTTGGCGCACAGTGAATCAAAAGATGGGAACATCATACCTGCTGAACAAGAGTGGAAAGAAGCTGAAAGAGTTGGGCATCGGGTTTGCCTTCTTCTGCCATGGATTTAGATTCGGAATATGGAACGGAAGGGAATTGGGAGATCTTTATTCGGAGGGAAGCGCGTGGTTTCACGTCCCGCCTTCTCGGCTTGCTTCGGTTGGGGTAACGGAGGGGAGGACTCCCAGGGGATGCGTAACGGTGTCAAACTGTTTAACACGAACACGTTACACGTCCAAACGGTGTCAAACCGTTAACCCAGACCTATGTTTTCATATCTACGCATGAGAGCCGATGTGAGATTAACTTTTGGAAAATATATTTAAAAAATTTAAAAATAAATAGATTTTGATTTTTATGAGAATAAATTATTAATTATTAAAATGGATATAAGTTAATGTAATAATTAAAATGGTACAAAGAAAGAACACAAGGGTGCGCATTGAACAAGCGTAGCTAGGTACTCTCATCATATGAGTAAAAGCTGGATTAGGAAGGCATTTGAATTAATTTTGAGAAGTAATTTTGTAGTTTGGGGAGGAGTTTAAAACCCTCATAATCACTTTAAAAAAAAATACTTTCATGCAAATTGAAATAAAATTCCTTTCACATATTTACTTTTAAAACTAAACTATAGTTTTAAGCATCAGGATAACTTATAGGCTTAATGGGTGTTTGAGTATTTCTAAAATCATAGAGGGCTTTGTTTTTCTAATCCACTCAACACACCCAAGGCATTCTTAATTTATTTTAGGATTAATATTATTGGTTTTTTATTTTATACAATTAAACAACATGCACACAAATATATCAATATCAGGTTTGAGTTTGAATCTCATCCAAACATGACAGGTAGTGCTATCACTAGATTAATATCATTGTTAGTCTTTACAATTTGATTGAACTTTGATTTTAATTCTTATAATTTCAAATCATTGGTTTTGATCCCAATAATTTCTTAAGAACTTGTCTAAATTTAAACATACAAATCAAAACCAAAATTTGTTAAAAGTATAGGGATATTCGTTAAAGTCATGCTGTATCTATTAACTATAGGGATTAATTATAATTTGGTCAAGGACAAACAAAACTATAGCCACTCTCCAGTCCCTAAATAGAGATCAGTCATCCTTAGATAAAATTTGTGACTGAAAACTTGGTTAGGGAGATGGAGTCTTTCAGGCTAACTGAGTTAAATCTGCAAGTCTCTTTGATAAAGGTCTTGGGTAATTTAACACATGTGGGCTATGAAATGGACATGAAGAGTGACAGAGTTTAGGGAAGCGGCTTCTCTCCGCTGCCTTATACTCCACTGCCCCTCCGGTCCAATTCCATCCGCTCTCCCTCTCGCTACCATGTCGATAAAGAAAATTTGTATCTGAGAAAATTGTAAACAGGGGATCTTGTACAGTGTGGTGGCACCGTCTATGGCGCCGTTTGCAGCATTGAGAAGGGAGAAAAAGAAAATACAATCGAGCGGGTTTGGCAAATGGACAGTTAAATGCCGGGGAGGAGAGGGGATGCTACTTGGTCATACCAATTTGTGGGACCCATCCCCTTTCAAAGTAATATTTCTTAAAATATAACTAACTAATTTAAATAGATTAAAAATGTTAGTTAAATTAGTTAATATGATTTTTTTTAAATATCTTAAATATCTTTCTTAATTTTCTCTCCCTGTCTTACTTGATTATTATTAAGAAAATATCAATAGGGTTAATTTGAGAAAAAATTGATAGATATATAAAACAAGACTTACATATTGAACTAATGTTAACTCCTAAATTAGGTTTTATATTAAGGACCGAAACAGTATTGATAAAAAAATAATTAAATACCATTTTTTCCATTAATTGAACAAAGATATTAGAAAAAGAGAACAATTGGCATTTATTTTAATAAATTTTTTAATTCATAAAAATAAAAAATCTTGTATTAATTACTTTTAAGAATCTCTTGCATTTTTCCACAAAACTAGTTCTTTTGAAATAAATTATTTTTATTGGAAAAGGATGAACAAATCATTTCTGGTTTATAAAATGCTAATTTGAAAGTGGCTGTGATGATGAAAAGCGAAAACAATTAAAAAAAATTATTTTCAAGGTGCATGGGTCCCACAATTAGGCATGAGCAAGTAGCATTCCCTCTTCTCCCTGGGCTTTCTTGTCCATTTGCTAAATATACTCGGCTGCGTTTTCCGTCTCTCCCTTCTCAATGTTTCAAACGAACGCCGTATCATGGCAGTGGAGGGCGGAAGAGAACAAGGGTGTTTAAATAGGTCCGTCTTAATTGGCCCGTCTCAGTCTAAACCATATTGTGACGGGATGGGACATAAAATGAGATCGGAACGGGACGAGACACAAGGCTGGGTCGTCCCGTCCCGTCCCGGTAGTAATATTTTTTATTTTTTAATCATATTATAATTATTAAATATTAAAAATACAAAATGTTTAACATATGTGTAATACAAAATGTTTATAGTTGTAACTTTCAAGACATATATAGTTGAATGGTTATTATTTATTTAGAGTTTTTATAATTGCTGATGATTTTTGGAATGGTGAAAATAACTTTTAGAGTTATTATGTTACTGATTATTATTTATTTGGACTTTTCTTTAAGAGAGTTAAGTCCAAAGAAATAATTAAAAAAAAAAAAAGATGCTTTCAAAGGAACCAAGTCCAAAGAACTTAAAATAGAAGGAGAAAAACAACCAAAATCCACGGTAATAGGTCCAACCACAAACAAAAACATTTCTTTTTTTTTTTTTAAAGGGATGTCCTAATCCCGTCCCTATTGGAACTGAGACAACATCGGGACAAGAGGGGATATAGGATAGATTTTTTGTCTCGTTCCTATTTATTGGGACAGGATTCTGTCCTGTGAACAGCCCTAATAGAGAGAAACCAATCTCAAAGCTTATACTTAAAAACCAACCCATTGTATCGGAATTTTTTTTAATGTGGTGAAAGTTTCACTTGAATAAGACAAATTCTTAAAATAGAAGTGAGTTAAAGAATTGAATTTGATTCTATGACATCAATCCATTTTATCTCTTGTATTCATTATTTTAAAACTGTTTTACTTAATTTATAAACCTATAAATTGATATATAATCAAGTAATACTAATATTTAAAAAAAAAATCATGTCACATATATTATCATAACCTAATTTATTTAATTATTTAATTTATTCAAATTAATTAACTAATATATTTTACATAAAGATATCTTTAACTACAATTCAATTAAATTTAAATTGGGTTCCAATGTTATGTCCGAGTAATCAGATAAGTGAATTGGACCCCAACGATGGCACAGCCCAAGAGCGGAATGAGGTATTTCTCATTTGGGCCGAAAAGTGGAGTTGAATAAAGCGCAACGCGCTAGAAAATCTTACCTTGTCTTTTTGAGGTGTCAAAAATAGGGGCTATTACTTTACTAGAGACTGGAGAGTCATAACATTGACGTGTTACCAAACAATCAAACATGCAATGAGCATGATAAAAACTCACCTAAACTTTAACTTCTAAATTTGAAACCTTTCAGGATAATATTGAGTTCAAAACAATTTGCAAACACAACGTTATTGAGTGAAAACTTTTAGGATATACATTTATATCTTAATGTGGAAAAAAAAAAAGTGAATGACATGTGAACATATCAACTCAGTATATTTAGTCAACTACACTCAAACTGAACTTCAGGACAAAATTGCTATGACATGAAAATCTTTGGACAAATTTGCATTTTAACCCTTTACTAATTTGAGTAACTTAAAAAAGTTAAATAAACTAATTGATTATGGTAAGTGTGATTTGATCTCCCTAACATAATCATGTGCAACATCAAGTAATATATTAGTTTATAAATTATGTAAATTAATTTTTAAAAAATGATAAATATAAGAAATGGAATAGATCTAGTTCTTATACTACCTCCGGTTCTTAATATAAGAACCAATTGATTAATTTGAGCAGATTAAAAAAATTAACTATGTTAGTTATTTGTAATAAATAAATGTTGTTTTTCCTAAAATATCCTTACTAATCAAAGTGTTATTTGATTAAACATTTAACATGTGTAATTATTATAAGTACTACATACCTTAAAATAATAAATAAATATAAAAGATAGAGTATACTAGAATCTTATATTTAAAATCAAATTAAAAGGTAATCAACTCTTATATTAAGAATTAATCAGGAGGTAGTATTTAAAATCAACTTCAATCCCTAAGTAGTACGTATTAAGGAGTGGAGGAGGAAGGAGTACTAACCATTGTATGGCTATAAAAAACATGGAAACCTGGGATGACGTTGCGTCACACAAGTGATGAACGTGGAAAAGCAATAATGAAAGATTTGAAATAATAATAGTAGTTTGATAGAAAGGGACGTGCTTATCATCTTTGTGCGGATGGTTTTTGTCGTTACAAGGCAATCGAATAGGATAGAAAGATGAAAGACAATAGGGGGCTTGCAAGTGGACATCCTCTTGAATTGATGCATATCATCCCACAGATGTCGCTTTCACTCTTTATCTCACCATGGCCAACTCTTTTCAGCTGCCTTTTATTGACCTTCGTTTTCTGTTTCCTGTCTCTCTCCATTTTTCTTCTTTCCTTAACTCCTAATCTTGCCACTTTTCATTTATTTTGCCTTTATCCATCACTTTAATGTAACCTGGCCCATTAAGTGTTTTTCAAGTAAGAGCAATGTCGGTACTGAAGGATTTCTCATTTGCTGGGTTGCTGAGATAATGATTCAGTGGTTGGTTTAACTTGGAGGAGATTGATTATAACTAAAATAATATAATACTACCTCTGGTACTAATTATAAGACTTTATTTACAGTCTTTAAACAAGGTCTCATAGTTAGGACCGGAAGTAGTACACTTAAAAAAATAATATTCAAATAAAATATATTACTACCTCCGGTCCTTAATATAAGATTTCGTTTGACTTTTATTTTGGTTTTAAATATAAGACCCTAATCCACTTTGTCTTCATATTTATGAATTTTTTTTCAAGACAGTCATTCTAATAAAGATGGTTCTAGCCAATACACTTGATTAGCAAGAATATTTTAGGAAAAATAATACTTATTTATTACAAATAGTAACTTTTTTTCTTAATTTACTCAGATTAGTCAACTAGTTCT